GGCTGAGGCAGAAGGACTGCCGGAGCCCAGCAGGTCGAGGCTGTGGTGGCCAAGAGTGGCCACTGCACTCCAGTCTGGGCGACAGAGTGAGACTCCAACTCAAAAAAAAAAAAAAAGATGATTTTTAAAGAAAACAAACAAATTACAACAAAGTGAGAGAGACAGAAAGCAAACTTACACCTGGCCCCAAATTCTCCACTAGCAGCCAGGCGCAGTGGCTCACACCTATAATCCCAGCACTCTGGGAGGTGGAAGCAAGAGGATTGCCTGAGCCCACTGGTTGGAGACTAGCCTGGGCAACATGGCAAGACCTCATCTCTACAATTAAAAAATAAAAAAATTAGCTGGGCATGGTGGCGCATCTCTAGAGTTCCAGCTACTTGGAAGGCAGAGGCGGAAGGATCACCTAAGCCTAGCAAGTTGAAACTGCAGTGGCCGTGAGCAAGCCACTGTACTCCAGCCTGGGCGACAGAGTGAGATTGACTCAAAGAAACAAAAACAAAAACAAAAAACAAAACTACACTAGCCAGCTCTACCCTTAAACACACTAGTTTTCAAAATGTACCATTTCGAGTAAACTAGAACCTCCAAATACTAATTCAAATCTATAGTGCTGACACTGTTGACTGTGTCCCTAATATGACATTTTAAAATAAAACTATTTCTGCTCCGTATAAAATCCTAATCACTGAAGTTAGCTATATGCCTCAATTCAATTATTTAAATTTTTATTTTATTATTTATTTTTTAAATTTTAAAATTTTTGAGTTGGGTCTCACTCCATTGCCCAGGCTGGAGTGCAGTGGCATGATCATGGCTCACCACAGTCCTCAGTTTAAAAAAAAAATTTAAAGAGAAACAGAAATACCAAAAGTGATTTACCTGATTGATTTGTCCTGGAGAGATCCTGCAAGCACTGTCAGATGCTGAACACTGGGCAGAGGTGGAAAACGATGTCATTTTGGCAGTGGAAAAATTGCAGTCTCTTGGTAAAACTAAAAGAGAAAAAATGTTTATAAACTCTAAAGTAGAAAATTCTCTAGCATTTACAGAAAAGCAGTCATCAGAACTAAAAAGACACATATAACAGAGCACCCTACACAAAGTCAATACACCCTTGCTGAGGTCCTTCATACCTTCTGATCACTTTCTAGTTCAGATCCTTCAAAAAACTGAAGAGCTTAAGAAAGAATCATGTATGCTTGCCTCAGGTGAAGCCTGTAACAGAAACAGGTTTGGGCATGCTCCAACCTCCACACTGAGGTTAAGGAGTAAATTGCTGTAGCTGAAAGTCAAATTTACATCATTACCTCCCCAATGGATATCAGCTAGTTTTTCAGTATCTTCTCCTCCTTTTGGGTCGTGCTCAAGAGCACTCTGTAGAAGACAGATTCAGGACTGGGGATTTACCACGATAAGTCATAGACTTAAGAATCCAAGAGAACTTCCAGAAAACCTCTTCAACATGTTGGAACATGTCTTGACAAAGGATCACAAAAAAAGTGAGAGTCAACATTTTCAGTATCAGTTAAAACAGCTTTCAAAGCCAGGCTCGGTGGCTCAGCCTGTAATCCCAAGCCTTTGGGAGGCTGAGGTGAGTGGA